ATGATATACTGTATCAGGGAAAATAAGAGAGTAATTAGCTGCCTTTTTCCCCAAATAGCTAGGTAATTACAAGGAAGAAGATACATAATAGTATAATGCTCAATTTTGTCTGAAGAATATTGAAAGCGGAGACAACTGGGTGCTATGTCACACATGACTCTTTAACCAAAGGCTGCTAAGTCTTGTTTCCATCTCAACCATAAAAAGAACACTCAGAAAAGTCTGTGGCATGGCTAAGACTACATTCTTACAATGGCTTCACATAATTTAAAGACAGCATCCCAAATCAGCCCTAGTCCAAGTTGCAGCAAGAGTTTGCATTCCTATGTGATGAGGTAAAGATGTTGAGTTTCACTTTTAAACTAGAGAATGTAATTCAGATCACTTCACTAAAGCTTATAACAGATAATGAAAAATGGCAGAGAAAAACCTTCTCTGTAAAGTTCTGTCATTTGCAAGACAGGATTTTTTAACTTCATGCTATTAAAATACTGTAGATTTGCAGTGATGATAGTGAATACTGTACAGAATTAATAAGGAAATACGAGAGAAGACAATATGCTTTCGAAGGAAGAACTCAAAATACTGCAGTAAACTGGTCCACTTTTACAAAAGGTGGCTATAGATGGTCTTCACTTAAATTACCACAACACTGTATAGATTTATTTTAGACACAGAGAAGGTAAAGTGCATTTTAAAATGCATCTATAAAACTAGCAGCTCTTCAGCTATACCAAAGACAATATTCATCTTCAGTGTACTTCTCATAGCTTTCGTATCTTAAATTAGACATAAAACTAAAGTATTTGAAGTACAATTAAATCATTTGGAATAAATTTCCTAATAGCAGTTTCCAGGTTGATGGATACTAGAAAATGGCGTAAATATTCAGCTGTGATTCTCTTCCCAAAGATTCTCATTCATCCTCACCCCTTTGCAGACCACAGTCAAAAAACCCCAGTCTTTAGCTGTGCTGTGTAAAGCTATTTGTTTAAAAAGCTGCCACTGTAAATGTCAGAAAAGTTAAATGGTGTCACAGGATCACCTTTGTCCTGTCCTTAAGCGACCCAAAGCGCAAAGGTGAAACGGATACTAATCCATCACTGTATAGTTCTTTTTTTTGTCCAGTAGGTATTTTCTTATTTTGCTTTTCTAATGCCTTTTCTCTCTTTTATTTGTCCTCTCTCCTGCTCATTGTAGGAATAATGAAGAATTAGCTTGCCCCTTCTTCTTGGTGACCATTACGTGGTTATTTACTCAAAGAAATGTTTAAGCAAGGATCACAGAAGAAACCCACTTCATTCCAATGCTGCTGGTTGTGACAACTGTGGATAACAATGGCTGAAAACAATGGTAGCACATTACCACTACAGTATCCATGTTATTTAGATGCAGACAGATAATTAGGACACCAAGCCCTGTGTTTAGCTAACTGTGACAGATTTATTTCATTTAATGTCTGATTTATATTTTAGAAAATATCTTTACATATAAACATACTTTAACATTTTTAAAAAAGGTTTAAATTTCGTTAAATGAACTGAATAGAGCTCCACAGGGAAATACTAACTGAAAACTGCAAGACGCTCTTAAAAGACTGAACTTAAAGAAACTCTTGAATTTCAGATGTAAACTTGATCAGTCCTTAATCTGGTTCCAGAAGTTGATCACATGCTCTCTCACCTGAAGTGATCATCCAGTTAGGAGACAGGTATTTTGAATTCCTGAATGCTTTATGGAATCTTAAACAGAACAATGTCTTTTATTTCATTTAATGTCTGATTTATATTTTAGAAAATATCTTTACATATAAACATACTTTAACATTTTTAAAAAAGGTTTAAATTTCGTTAAATGAACTGAATAGAGCTCCACAGGGAAATACTAACTGAAAACTGCAAGACGCTCTTAAAAGACTGAACTTAAAGAAACTCTTGAATTTCAGATGTAAACTTGATCAGTCCTTAATCTGGTTCCTGGTGTCTTTTATTTGGAAAAATGAAGCTTATGAAATTTATTTCATAATAAGTACTAAGCCTACTGGTATTTTATCCATATTGCAGATAATTATTGAACTGCTCAGACTAAATCACTTACCTTATAGAAATAAATGTGTTTTGTATAGCTATTTTCCTTATTCATTCTTGTTCAACGCATAGTCTAATCGGTATGAAAAAGACAGTCTCTCCTGATGTTTATAATTTGATCAACTTTATTATTTTTCCAAGTATGGCCAAAATCCAGAGCAAATATTTCAGTAGTAAAATGATCATAAATTTCAATAGAATGTTCATGTGTGTCACCCATGAAATTACTGAAATGACTTAGGTAAGCCTATTTTTTTGCTTGTGTATATATCAATAGGTATATAATTTTGACAGCTGTTAGTAGGTTGCAAGAACAATATTCCTCCTATCGTAAAAAATACGCTGGCTTACTATTTAGAGCATAGTTCAGCATATGTGATGGCAGAAAGAATGTTGGATAGCTTGATAAAATATGGTAATAGGACATATGAAACAAGAATTTATAGTGTGGGCTCTGCACCTGTGTTCATCTAGAAAACGTTTTCTCATGATAAAGGCCTTCAGTACTCTCTACACGCAGAGTAATTTCAGCCAGCTCCATAAAATCTAAACTGAGCTATGACATAAACATGCTCATAGACTGCTGAAAGGAAAGCATGGAAAAAAAAAAGGTCTATAAAAAAGGCACTAACTAAATCTAATTTAATTAAAAGTAATCAATATATCAGTAGCTGATTTTGATCCTGATTTTAATTAAATTATCTGAATCCAGCTTTTTCTCTGCAACAGATAACTATTTTCATCACGCTGGAAGAGTGGCATAAACTGTTACAGAAAAATAGTAACTGGAAGATTTTATGTTTAGACTGTAGCAAAGGGGATTGATAACTTTTCTGAAAATACTGTGTGACTGGCAAAGCTTAATGATTCTAGATTCTGCAGAGATAATCTAGAAATAAACGTCCCTTGACCTATCTAATGTTATATTTTTTACCGAAATGAAATCTTTTAAAACAAACATCTATTTTTAATATGCAAAAATTGCATACTGATCTAGGATTAAACTTTAATGGCTTGTTTTTTTGAAGACTATCTTAAGCTTCCATGAATTTCAGTGGGATTTAGTGGTTAATCATAATTTTAAAACATGATGGTAAAATATTCCACTCTTTAATAAGTTATTCAGATTTCACAACTGAAGTTACTACCAACTAATTTCAAACAGAAATTTTTAGCACAAATGAAGTAGAATGCTAAACTTTTCTTAACACAGGAATCTGAAATCTGCCCCACTGAAAAACTGAATTTTCTGCCCACTGTTAATTTTGCCACATATGAATAAAGACACTGGGTGGGAGAAGAAATTTGTAAGACAACATGAACTCCAAAAACTTTTTCCTACTCAGTGTCATTTTAGGTTTTGTGCAGTTGTATTTACATATTTGGGTACCGTGTTTAATCTGTTATTGCAATGAACCCACCTTTTCCCTATAGAATGTCACGCATCACTCTCTGACAATTTTCACATACAGAGATGACCACTATACCAAACTGAATAATGTCTCAAAATCGGCATTAAACAGAACATGCAGTGTTTGAGGTAATACAACTGCATCATACCTTACTATCAAAAGTGGTGACAGAAAATTCCTTTTTATATATATACACACCCATATATATTTGTCAATTAGTTGCTGGATACGTATTTACTGCTATGTATTTGTGAGACAATCAGAATTTGATGACAATCTACCATGCTAGAGAGAATCAATTCTTATATGGTTATGGTTCCTACATCCTTCTGACAGGTCTACCTAACAAATATTGGGGAAAAGTAAATTCCAGGGGAGCGTGATCTTTCTAATTTCACACTTTGATATCAGAAATATATTAGCTCCAAGAAAGGTAAGAAATGCAATTCTGTCATTAAGCCACATAATTAAAGGTCGTCTTCAGTGCAGTCTTACTATGTTTATTCAATGAATCATAATGAATTGCAAGATACACAGTACAACTAAATCCTCATTGATTTATAATAACAACTTTCAAATGTTAAGTCTGTTATTGAATACATCATAAATTTTAAATAAAAAATGCAGCAGTTTTGTATTTCTTTTGCTTTAAAAGTAAATTCTTTTTTGTATTTTTATTATATGGTTTTATTCAGTTGGTGGTTAGCAAAATCTCTGTGAAAGTTATTTTTGCTGGTATATGCACGTGTTCAAGTGAATAGTTTGAATTTTCATTTTTCTTTTCTATTTTAATGTCTTGCATAGACAATTAATTTATCCTCACAACATCCCTGTGAGGTAGGTACTTAGGCTGTATTAAAAAATTAAAAAAAAGCACTCAAGAGAAATTCACTGATTCAGCAAAGCCAAATTAAGACCGTAACGGGGCAGTTGTACTTCTCACTCTGATTTGAGCCATGAAAATATACTGCCTCTGAGCAGTTTCAGTAGCTTCTGTAAAAATTCTAAAATATTTCATATGAATATCACTTTGGTCATTGTCAACAGAGAAAGATATTTTTCGTGAGAAATGAGAAGGATACAGTAATTATCCTGCACACATGTAAATTTCATTGAATAATGTTCTCATTACCCAGATAAATACTAACAAGTAGCCTTCTTGCAAGAAATATTTGAGACCATTGAAAAATTTAACCATGAGAAGAACATGAATATATTATATAAATATTTTAACACTAAAATTACATGTAATGGTTACATGGCTTTAAAAAGTCAAAAACTGTATTTCTTTGACCAATTCAAACGCACATGTTCTCCTGTATCTACCTTATATATTTTAAAGAAAAATATTCTAATATATAGTTTTATTGATTTGCTAGTAAAATTTTATAAAGGATATACTCATACTGTCATGGTAGGTGGTGGGTGACATAAAAAGCACATTGACAGCAGAATGCTTTTATATAAATTGCATGCACATTCTTGTTTCTTACTTGCTTACCAAAGGAACAAATATATTCATTATAAGAAAAGACTCATTTACAAGGCAACGAGAAGCCTGCTCTAGCTCCATGCCAATATAAACGATTTGCAACTGATTACATCCATCAAGTTTAATATAAACCATAGTAATCTGAAAAGAGTAATCAGATGGAACACGATTTAATAACACACAAACCAAAGTTAATGTTTCTCTGATTGTTTCCATTAACTGCATAGCTACTCCAATTATTATTTTTATATATACATTATGTAACTTAATAGTAGAAAATTTAAAAACACACAATACATAGTACATTAAATAGAGGACTGTATTGACCAAAAGTTTATACATTATTGCTGATTTTTGGAACTTTTTTTTCTTTTGTAAAACATAGTTGACCATATATCAATTAGAAATAACACTTCATGTATTTAAATTTTCATTATCCTGTCAGTATGGCCCCTCTGCAATCTAGGTGCATTTAAAAATAAATCAATAAAATTGTATTTTTTTTGAAACACCCCTTTACCACTAGCACTTTTAAGATTACAGAAGAGCACATAATGCAACAACTTCCTTGAGAGCAAATTTTGTCTTTCTTCACAGAAAATCAAAAGCCCAGATGACAATGAGCAAAGTAGTAGGAACAGCAGGGAAAAACTGCCATGTAAATGCAAAAGCAATCTCTGGTAACCTTCCAAATGGGTAATACCAAATACCTATTTTGGTCATAAACCTGGAATAGTGACAGTTTATTTCCCTTTTATTTATCCAGTTATTGCAGCATGTATAAACCAGTAAGAAAAATTGTATTTTATATACAAATAAACAACGCAAAATCAGAAGACACGAAGCTGGTTCATAAAATGATGTTTTCATCCTGTCAAATTTAAAAGTACACTTTCTTGCAAAAACTTATTTGAGAATTCAAGCATTTGAAGAAGAGGCCATGTATATATACAGTGTCACAAGATTTTTTTAAGTCTTTTCCTAAAGTGGGTATAACATGTTATGGACAAATAAAAAAACAATTAAAATTGGCATGGGATGGGTAGTTTGAAAAAGACAATTTTTCTGATTTACACATTCACTGAACAAACTAGATGCATGGCAAACTGACACTTTTAAACTGGAAAATGTTATGGAAAAATAATGAGGCAACAGAAATAAACATGACTTTTTCATTGCTGAGTTTTTTGTAATTGGCTGATTTAACTTAAGGGCAATTTTAAGACCAAAGCAGAGAACTATTGTATTAGAATATAAAGATTCCCCCACTTCCAGACAATAGGGTTTTTCTTATTAATATCTGAAGAGTTGACACTGACCCTGAAGCTCTCATTGTTAGTAGGATGCTGTTAGTAGTAGCAGTTGCAAACATGTGGGTTTGCCAGTAACAACTCACAATTTCTGCATAGTTGAGTCTTCGAAACTGAGCAAATTTGCTCTCAAAATCTTGCCAGCGCTTGCTGAGCTGTATCAGGGTTGGCTCCACTGCTTTTGCAGCCCCATCCTTAGACAAGCGTTCAGCCTGCCTGTGCACCGCATTCAGATCTTCCTTCTTCTTCTCCAATTCTCCATCAATCTCCTAGTGAGCAAAACCAATACAGGGCCCAGGACAGTTAGCTAACTAGATCAATCAACTTAAAAGTAGCAAAATACTTCTGTCAGAAATTCCATTTCCATTTTATTGTTACAATTAAAATTTACAGCTATTTCATGTCTTATTTTACATTTAAACAAAACAAAAATAACTGAAATTGAAGAACCTTCTTGGAGATCGGCTGTAGAGATACTAACAGCTAGTACACACTGAAAACTAGTTAGCAAAGGCCAACAGTTTCCACTTCCAGATTCTTGCTAGTACACTGTGATGGGCAATTGGAGAAATTCTTTTCTCAATAAGGGTCAGCATATTCAGGACAAATAGTGTTTGGACAGCTTACAAATATATTATTTGACTCTTTAATATATTACTTAACTCCTATGTTACTCTGTGGGAAACTCAACAGAGAATGAAGCAAAGAAAGACGATGCAAAATAAACTAGGAAAACCTTTGACAGTATGCAAATAAATCTATAGAGTTTGACAGTGACATATGAATATGTTCTGATGAAAATGAATGTGCTAACATGAGATAGAGGTCATCCATATATCGGTAAGTCATTTTTTCATCTGGAACAAAGATACATAAAATCAATTACAATTTTTACTAGAAAACATTTGATGCTTCTTAATACATTGCACACTTTCCATATTATCAACAAAAATTTTACTTAGTGTGTTTCAAATTATTTACGTAATATTCTGTATAACAAACAAATAAAAGATACAGTACAACAAAGAAATGTCAGTTTGAACACAGATAATTATGGTTTGTTTAACTATAGATAGAAATAAAGAACTGAACTGAGAATTTTCTGTATCTATTTGAAAATGTGTTGCATTTGCTGTCTCTTAAATTGATAAACTATCACTCAGAAAGATCTACCATTGCCATCCCAAAACAACATTACCTTTAGTTTCTGCTCATCTTTGTGGTCTGGTAGACTGGCTAACTTTTTCTCAATGTCATCCAGCCATGTCATTAGGTCATCAGCCTGCCTCTTGTACTGATACCATTGATGAGAAATCTCTAAAGCCTTTTTTCTTCTTTGAGATCTCAAGTCCTGTTCACAGTGCAGACATTATTAGAATATGAATTAAAGGCTTATAAAATATGAATTGGCATGTGTGCACACTGAAGGGGGAAAAAGTGCACAAGGCCACTATTTGTTTTAATTAGGCGTTGATATTTAGATCAAGTATATAAGTATCTAACGGCAGCATATTTTCTTCAGTTTAACAGTATATATGTAACTGAACACAGCGTATTTTCATCACTTTAACAGATTATTTTTTCTTTTAAAATAGGTTACCTAATTCAGGGTTCTTCACATGTTGAATAAACTGCTGAGACAGTCACCAATATTCAGAGAAGTTAACACTCTTACATAAATGTCAATATTTTATACAAAAGACTTCTGCTCAGAACATTTACTGGACAGATGGAAACACAGCCCACTTAGTATCCAGCCATAAGTGGGCTTCCTGTGTTTTGTGGTCTCCTGTGAAATTCTAGCCTGCATGCAAACTCTGTAGCTATTCAAAAGAAAATCATTTCAATGCAGAAATGTATGCAAAGACAGGTTTCCTTTTTCTAAATTAAATACCATTTACATAATAAATGTCTTGTGTTTATGACTCAGCTTTATAAAAGTATTAAAACCTCTCTTTAACAGGAAGTTAAAAAACATCATTTTGTTTCATATAAGTATTATTAAATATATTGCATTTGCATTTGCTTTAACTGCTTAACTTCGCTCATAAAGAATTCAGAAAATATTTTCACTACTGTAACTTCTTATTAAGAAGAAAATTTAAAAATTGCTGGTATATTTTATATAAAAATACTCAGATTAATTTACTTCAACCATTCTTGGATTTCATTTCACAAGGTTGAATGCCTTAACTGAGTCACCCAAAGCAAAATCAATGACTCTATTCCATAAAAACAGCCAGTAAGGATCTGGTCAATAGCATAGTTCTATAAACACTTTTCTTGTTTCTCCTCCATAAAAATTATTAATTACTTCCATTTAACTTGGAACAGTCAAAGACACACTGAACAGATTTCAAGTTTCTTTTAAATGTGGACAAAATAATGGTATATTCCAGCTATTCTTTTACTGATTCACACAGACCTGAAGAACTGTAAAAATTAGAATGAAAACCACAGAAAAGGAAAGATGCTGCTTAAAAATAAGTAATAATAAAATGTAACGATGCCATGTTCCCCAAGCCAAGAACAACTTAATGAAAAATCTTCAAAAGAAAGAAAAATTCTGCTTGCCAATAAGATGAAAAATTCTTCTACAGTAGCCAAAGCCTACTGCTCCCAGTAGGTGTCCAAGGTGACTTTCCAACTGCAAGATTCTTTCTTTCCTTACTTTTATTTTTCCCTGGAAAGACAACACTCCCAATTATGACTATTAGCTTGTCCAAATAGGTCTCACTGTGGATGTAGGAACAGTATCATACAGTTATACCTCCAGGAGTGTGGTAACATGGAATTTTGACATGTGACTTTGGTTTTCAGCCTCTTAGCCGCTAGGTCTATTGGCACTACCACCTACCCTATTTTAAAAAGGCTGAAGCCACTTCTCAGACTAAAAGAGCATAGCATGTAAATCTTTTACTAAAGGATAAAACAACTTACTCATTGCCAGAAGTATGTTCTACAGCTGAAATTATAAGTTTGTGAGAACTGATTCTAACTAAGGTCTTGAGTGCTGTTGGAGAGACATAAAACATGCATAATGTGTTAAAAAAAAAGGAATTATTAACAAAGAAACCATTGTAGTCCAACTGGCAATCACATGGTTGTAACACTGAGGACAAAACAGTACTTGTTAAGCTGGAGATTTAAAATGTCTTTTCCAAGGCATCAAGAGAAGTATATAAGAAAATATATGTTTATAGCCAAATAGTTTTAAATTACTCATCTCTAAATAGTAATGGAGATTCATTAATTAAACAGAACAATGCCCTGAAATGAAGAAAAAATGGTTTTAGTAGCATGTGCTTATAACTGTAGCTCCTATACCTTGAGAGCATTATGTTTAGTCTGCAACAGCTGCTGTTTTATCTTTATTTCCTCCCGTTTTCTCTCATCTGTGATTCTCTTTTGAAGCGTGTCGCCCCTTTGCAGCAATTCTTTCACTGTGCTCTCATCGTCTTCTCTCTGATTTGAAAAAAATAACAAGTATAACAGGCATTTTAATCTAATTATTACCTAAGTAAGTAGGTACCTAATAAGTACTAGGAGACACAGACATATAAAAACTAGACTTCCTCTGCTAAGGTAATTATCTAACAGCAACTTGCAGTTCTATACTGAAGACCAAATAGCTTTTACTTGCTTTCTACAATACATGTAGACACTTGAGGGGTACAAGTAAAACAGCACTTGAAAACCTACAGATGTTTGATATTAGATTTTACACAGCTTCCAGGATAACAGGATGAAACATTAAAGGCAAAAAAGTAAAATATATTTTACTTTAAAACAAAAAGAATAGAAATATGTAAAATATTCTAAACCACCGTCAGTAGTCACTGAAACTGCCAGTATGCTAGCAGGCCATGTAACCCCTGACTATTTCATGTATCATCACAATGCAAAACAGCTATTCTAGCAAGGAAAATTATACCACTAAGTACTTTCTACATAGAAGTTGAATCTATGCCACAACCTCTGGGAGCATATCTCTTGAACCACACTAAACTTTTTATTGAAAGAAAGGGAACAAAATATGCTCAGGTAGTGGAAACTGCCCTATCAAACTTGATTCACTTAGAATTTACCATTGCAGTACATAATGCCTTAAATCTTAATTTTCCTGCATTAAAAAAAAAAAAAAGAAAAAAGAAAAAAGGTCCTGTAAAGATTCCTTTCAGCATTGACATAAAATAGCTATCTTTGAAGAATTCCTTAAAAGGAAAAGAATATTGCTTGTAAAGAAATACATATCTGATCTTGCTGAGAATTCACAAAGAGAAGGTCATAAAGACAAATCTCTGTTATTGCCAAGCCAAGAAATGTCATCCCTCTGAAAACAGTCTGGAGAAAACACACAACAGTGACAACAGTAGCAAAGCACAGCAGTATTTTACGCCTCTCTTTTTTTCTTTTTTTTTTTTTTTTTCTCCCTAATATGCATGAACTCTTTTACTATTTACAAAGAGCAAACGTGAGTAATAAAGCTTACCACAGCCACAAAAGCTATTTACAATAAATGGTCAACCAGATCTGTTAAGAACTAATTGGCAAGTGGCATTTCTTTCAATGATCATTGCCTAGCATTTTTTTTTAGTGAATGTCTTCTTTTACTATATTGCCCATTTAGATAGATCTCTCTGAGTTTTCTTCATCTTTATACTGCTACAGAGATTTTAATATTCATTCCCTATTCTGTAATATTGCTGGTACTAGTATAGGACACGTAGGTAATATTCCTGCTTTGCTTAGTGTTTTCACAAGGGTCAAAAAATGTTTTTCTTATCAACTAACAATTAACATCACTAAAACTTTTAGTTAATGCTAACTTGGGACTTTTGATTTTATAATATATTAGCACCGTAAAATTTTGTCCAAGTCATATCTAAAGATCCTAACACAAGTATGGAAGTTTCTAATTTTTACTCAGGTTTTTTTCATCTCCCTGCCTACTTCACTCAGACTTCCATTTCAACCAAATTACCATATCTTTATTGAAGTCCTCCTCTTTCAGATTCACCCCCTGCTGAATTTCAACCTCCAGTGGTTCAAGCAATTTTTGTATATCGAAGTCAAATTGCTCCAATTCCTTCAAAGGAATGAAGGGCTAAAATGGGAGAAATACAAAGATTATTTATTTAAATCACATACTTAATAGTTTTGCTAGAAACATAAATGAAAAGAGATATCTCTTCTACCCCCTATTGCCAAAACAATGGTGGACTTTCCATCATGTGGAAAAATATCTACATCATACAACTCAAAGTACCGAAGATACAAGTAAAGATAGGCATTTAACAATACTTTAGAACTTCCATATAAGAAAACATAAGAATTCTATGGTGAGTGGAAATTAAAAAAAAAAAACAAACCCAGATACTCTCACATTTGTGTGTAAGAACAGGTTCAGATAAACAGTGTAACATAACAATTTGTCTAAAAAAATAAATGTTGACACTACTTGGCTAAATCTGGTTTGTCACAAATTACTCACACAGCAACAAGCAATCCATTCAGAGGAAAAACCACCTACTACTACCAATTGAGAAAAATGTCATGATAATTTGTTTCAGCATTTTGAAATCATTGCTGTCTCACAACGAATAGCAAAAATGCCAGGTGAATTATACAAAACACAGATAATCTTTGTATAAGATATTCCCCTAACAATATTTTGTAGCATATTAAAAAAACTTCACTAGAAGAGTTTGTGTTTCAAAAAAGCCTCAACAAAAATGCAGGACCAAAAAACCCTCAACCAAACAAAATAGACACAATGCCTCCAAAATGAATCACAGTATAATTATGGTGCTTTAGCTTAGCATTCAGTTTTAAACTCTAGAACAAGCGCCACTTATTAACAACAATACACCGCCCTTTATCTACCTGATACCCGAGTGCCTGTAGATAGTATAATGTACACCAGGCGATATATTTATAAAGTGCATTGCAAAGGAGCAACAGAAAATTTTTCTTCTTTCAAAGCTTTAAATGCAAGAACAAGCAACAAATTCTTGATGATTCTTGCATAAAACTTAGATTTAAAGGTAATTAATGCTTTATGTTGTTCTAGGAACTCTTGGATATACAACTGTCTTGTTGCTAAAGACATAAATAAGCACATTATATTCTAATCAGTTGTCTTTTACTCTTGCCCCTCCCCCCTGTACAATTGGTGTTTATTATAAAGCAAAGTTTCTAATGAAGATGATAACAATCAAAGTTAATAAGCTAAAACAGGAGAGACTGGACATCATCTATTCTCAGCTGTTCCACTGATGACCTGGGAGAATTAGGGTAAAAATGCCTTAATTGTATCTGTTTGATTGTTTTAATGACAAATATTTTGCGCACTTACAAACATTAATGGAAATACAATAATGTATGATATTTATAGAGAATAATGTTCACAAATTTTCATCAAGAAGCTCAGATTACACTCAGCGAGCACTTCAACTGAGATAGAAATAATAGCAAACAACACAGTAATTTATCCTCAAATGCTCTGAAGGATGTCTTCAAAAGTACTTAAATCTCACTAAAAGACAAATCAACTAATAAAACTGGAATATAAAATTACTAATCTCTGACAAATGTTAAAAACAATAACAAAAAGGAAAATGGGAGGAAAAATACGAAATGAAATTCCAATAATTGAATGAGGTTCAAAGACCACTTGAAAATGTTAAATCTCATTTTAGTACACTGTGATCATTTTGTTCATTAAGGACACAACAATTATATTCTACTGTTTACTGACTTCACAGGTTGTTTCTTATTTACTTCACTGTTGTACTGATAATTGTTAGTATTTAGAAAAACATACCTAATTTGGAAAGAGATGAGAATTGACTGAAAATAGATTATGAGAGCTTACTATCCTCTTGAACTGATTTTTTAATCTGTTATTCACTGAGCGAATAATTTTACCAAAGTATGAAAAAACCTGAAACATTTAGGAAGCATAAGACCACCCTGTAAGAATAATAATTTTTCAGCCCATGAAGTTGAAATCATGACTAAGGGAAGTGCAGTTGCCTACATTATACAGGTGGACAACGAGGCACTCAGCAATTTAGTCCTTTAATCCAAATGCGTACAGCAAGTCAGTAGAACTGCCAAGAATTCAGACAAGCTTTTGCCTCTCTATCTTATGCAATATGTGTAACTATAGATATGCTTTGTGAATCATACCCTAGCTGTCCATTCCCCAAGGTCCTGGAGAAGGTCCCCTAAATCCTAATTTACCGTTAAAATTATGTGCTGTAGTTATTCCTCTCATCTTGTTAGGGACATAGTGTATAAAGCTTAGTGAGGTGCTGCCATTCCAGATCATCTTGCCTGTACAATCATAAATGGGAGACCACCTGAAACGGAAGGCTATCGGGTAGAAGACATTTGCAGGCTGTGTTCTGAAGACACTTTATCTTCATAAGCATCTTTTTCCCCTTCTTTGAGTGAGCCCAAAACACACAAACCCATGATAAACCATCTTTTTAGCAAGGCCTGTTGTGACAGGACAAGGAGTAATGGTTTTAAACTAAAGGAGGGTAGATTTAGACTGGATATAAGGAAGAAATTTTTTACAATGAGGGTGGTGAAGCACTGACACAGATTGCCCAGAGAGGTAGTGGAGGCCCCATCCCTAGAAACCTTCAAGGCCAGGTTGGCTGGGGCTCTGAGCAACCTGATCTGGTTAAAGCTGTCCCTGCTCACTGCAGGGGGGTTGGGTTAGATGACCTCTAAAGGTCCCTTCCAACCCAAAGCATTCTATGATTCTATGATTCTATGATCTACAGGCAGTCCCACTGTTCCCTAAGACAAGCAATAATTTCACACAACCCTATCAAAGGCTGCATCAGCCCTCTATGCTTACAGCGTTGTGAAAGTGCAAGGTAAAACTGAGAAGGAAATCCAGACTGCAGATAGCAGATGTTCAGAATAAAACTGTCACACAACACAGTTGTTTGGGCTTTGTGCCAAGATATTCTCTGTCTACAGTTCGTACTTCTGTAAGAAGTAAGCGAGAAGCACGCTGGAATGGCTGAAGTACTACTGATGGCCAATAGGAAGAAAAAATATGACCTTTATTCATAAGACATGTTCTTTTCTGTTCCAGAAATGAAACCTAAATAAACTCGAATATCTACAAAGAATGCGCTAGTTACACAGGCTATTGAGCCCTGCATAAACCCCAGACAACTAATGGAAACAGTACGTCTTTGCTTATGCTTTTTGCAAAGCTTATTTCCTGCTCTGCCACTGATCCTCTGTGCATTCATTTCCAGTGCTATTACACTAGCCAGCAAAAAGAGTTAAGATCGGGATCCACGCATTCCCATTAGCCTGTATACCAACCTGTACAGCTGCCTGCCTCCATCTGCTGAACAGCTCTCCGCAATAAAGGCAGTAAATACAATGGAGAAAGTAGGTGGCTTACGCCCTCCCTCATTTCAATTCAGAAGTCACAACTAAAAATTACTTAATCCATATCAAATTCAGATTCAGTAGTCAAACTAGCTTTACAGATGAGTAGCTGAACTATAATTGATACAGTCTGTGTATATCTATCTATCTATCTATGTATATGTCCAACCTTGGTGAGTCACAGCCGCACAGGAAAAGACTGGGTGCATTTAATGAAAAGTTAGCCCCCAAAACCCAATCTATATCAAAAAAAAAGCTACACATACTTTGAGAAGATTAAGAATCTTACTGATTCCCAGATGTTGCTCAATCTTTGTAAGTTAATGAAGTAATCATTGTAACGTTCATATAAAGTCAGCGAATACTTCTAATTGTGAAATAGTGAAAGATGACCTTAATGTCAAAAAACCCAAACCTTCACACTTTAAAAAAAAAAAATGTATATTCTTAGCTTCTACCTTTTTTTCCTTTAAAAGCTTAGTTTTTGGAGAAACTGCAGCCTGCTATGTAGTTGTAACTGTGCACCTTATATAAATACCATTTTGTATGCATCTCCATATGGAAGCAAGTCCTCCTACCTTTCCACTCTTAATTCTTTGCGATATAGTTGCAAATCGCTGGTTGAGCTCTGACAGTTTAGGCTCTATTATTTTCCTGCAGTGATCTCCGTGGTTTGTCATCAAGTCTACTGCCTGGTCACGCACAGAGTCCACCTTTGGATGCATATCACTCAGCTCAGCCTTTAAGCGCTACAGTCCGTGAGCAAGAGACAGGGCTTGAAGTTAGTAATAAATGCAAAGAGAGAGAAAGAGAGAGAGAGAGAGAGTGTGCAAAGGAATAGGGAGCAAAACCACAAAGCAAATTCAGATAATTATGCATGAGTGTGTAAATCCAGTAGAAATACATTAGATAACATTCCCACTCCTATCCCTCAAATTTATAGCAGGAATGTATCTACATGTCTGTTTTAATATCTCCTAGAGGAAATTAATGGTGAACATTATTTCTAGGCAGGTTCTTATCTGTAATAATACGATCCTCAGCGTATTTCAGGATACGTTAAATTATTTTATGTTCCTAAAGCTAAGAAAAGCTGCTAATTCATGTATTATGGAGCTGGATGTATAACTATACAAAGCAACCATTGCTGCTTTCATTACTGTTCATGCCTACAGTTGAGGCAGGGAAAAATGCCCAGCTGAAAACCAGTGGGATTTTTTTCTATAAATCTATCACAAAATTACAAAAAACTGAGGGCAAATACCTTCTTCCTCTGCAATAGTAATCTTAACAGTAGATCCCAGTATGGGCAGAGGCCAAAAAAGATAGCCAGGTATTCAGGAATCATAAACACAGTTGGACATTAAGAATTACATTTCAGCATCTGTATGAAATGCCTTTGTGCAACACAAATATATATACCTGTATTGATGGCAAAGATAATTGTACTTTGTACCTGATGGTGGCAAAATTGTTCATTCAACTACAAAAGTCTGTCCTGTAATCCTGCTGAGATCAATGAGGCATTGATTTATGCTCTGCCTTGGAATTTGTAAAGTTTTGCTTCAGTAAATGGTGTCATTGTGTTAGTGCCAGCAATACAACTCTGATTTTGATTTGCAAACTGTTCCTCTGATATTGTATACTGACCATAGAGTTCAATACAAAGTAAAACATCACACTGATTTCAGAAGAAAAAAAAAATCCATATAGATAATAATTTGAAGTTGTTTAATCTTAAGAAAGAAGGTATTTTAAATGAGATACTTTAAAATTCACATCTACCTTGCAAGTTAGTTTTTCATCAGTTGGTCAAATGATGTAATGGACCAAATAAAATCTTCTGTTCAATACACTAACCCATTATTATACAGCTAGTTCACCATATAATATTCTTGTCTGTGGTGTTGGTCTGTCATCAACTCAAACAGTGTTTATAGAATTCAAACAATCATATGACAGAGATATCAAACACAGATAGCATAGATATCAGAAAAGTATCACAGAAAAACAGAAAAGCAATTCAAAATTAAGAACATGGAAGAAAAGGATTTTGTTCAACCAGATGTATTTAAGGAGTATTTTCCAGCAAATACAGGTTTAATAAGCTGCTGTTCTACTCACCAGGAAGTCCCCAAGACTTACAATAACATATCTGGTTTTATTTCTGCAGGAATTTAGCTTTTCAATGCAGTGCAAATTTATTAAGTAATCTACAAGTTGCCAGAGGGTGGTTTTATCACAGAAAAAAGAATGTTAATCAATTTGTGATACCTTTCAAAATACGCTAGTTTTGACACATTCCTTTTTTAGAATAAAATTAATGCTTTCCAGAAAATCGCATTTTTTTACCTTAAGAATTTCCTCTTTTTGCTGGGGCTTTTGTTTATCAGATTCATCCAACAGTATTTCAGCACGATACATCCAAGTTGTGACATTAGCTACATTCTGATCAAAAGCCTCCATGTGCTTTTGATATTCCTGTATGTGGAAAAGGTAAATACTGCATACAAAAAAAGTCATCAGAGCTGAAATAATAGCCGTAATTATGCCAACTGTGGCAAACATGCAGACATTCTGAAATTAAACTGATTTTATACAGTAACTGCTTGGTTTGTGAAGGATAGAATCTGTTGTTTGTTTGCTCTCACTTTATATATTATGTTTCTTTAAAATGACATTCTAGGAGAGAGAGAAGCTTCCAAAGTGACAGGCAGGAGGGTGACAGAGTTGCAGCAAGACACAGGTGTCTGCAGCTCAGCCAGGCTGCGGAGGGGAACAGGAAGCTGACAGCCAGACCTACTGGAGGTGGAAAGAAGAGTTTCCCAAGAACCAGGTACAGAACTCATGTTGGAAAGCCACTAAGTCAATTGAAACTAAGGTGGAAACAAGGATGCACTTGCAAAGTCACAATCAAGAATGCGAGCTTTGTATATAAAACTTTTATTTTCATTTCACCTAACTTCTCAGCTTTGAGACTCTGCTTTTTAAAAAGTTATTCTAGTTGATATTCTGATCAATCTTTTTTTTCCCTCCTTAATTTAAAAACCTTTTACCTTTTTTGGTGAGCTCACTAGAATGAGGTCTACACATATCCACCTCAGAACTCCAGGCCAACTACGTGTAGTTTGGCGTAATACTTTTGGCCTAATAAGTAATACTTTTTATGGCCAAAAGGAACAGCTCAATGACACGTTGCAGTGGTTACCACTGGTACACTACTAAAATATCCATATTCAGTCTGTGTTTACAAATTTGCCAACTGTGGCAAACATGCGTGCATTATAAAATTAAACTTGTTAAATTTTATACAGTAACTGTAGAATCCAAAGCAGAGAGAAAGTAGAGGAATACATAACTATACCAGTCTATAAACTCCATTATGTGTTTCTTATAATGAGTTCCAAATTGAAGCTGAGCACCTACATCGTACTGAATGAAATGCTTAAGTTTTCCAAATAGGCACAACCAGGTGCTTGCACTTGTATACTGCATACAGCCGAAGAAGCCCTGCAGTGATGCTGTATACCCATCACCAAAGCGTTTGTAAGGTAGACACACAGAGTCTAGTGGACCTCTAACACATCAAGCTCTGAAAAGTCATGATAAAGGCTAAGGCACCCTCAAGAACCACTTCAGTTTCTCTGCATTGAAACTGCATTCCCATTCTCTCAGCACCAGAAACAGCATACAAGATTTCCCACAGCATTCTGGCAGTCAAATGGTTAAGACTATTCTGTGTTTAAGGGTTCAAGCTGTCATCTCTTCATGGCAGAATTAATTTTAAGGGAGAATATAGGTATGTGACTTATCAGCAGTGTGAAGCAGCTGGTGCTGGGGCTCCTGAATCTGAATTAAATGCGGTTTAGGGGTTTTACTTTGGACTAAGCTTAATCTGGTGCCCTTAACTAAGTATCTGCACCAAAACAGGCACCACAGAACACGCACATCATGCAGTTCTGAAAGACCAAATCATAGTCCTTGAGCACATCAGGTGTGCTCCCTGAGCTTCTGATTCAGTTGCCTCTGAAAGAAATCTAGTTCACGCACACCAAAGCTACCCTGTGGACCAAACAAACATGCAAGCGGAGACTTCCCATCTGTACTACTCTTCCAAACAGAAATGTTAATGTAGCCAAAAGCAGATGATGCTGTTGGTATCAATACCAAGACTTATTCAACTTATTTGACTATTTTTTTTCACTTGATTCACATTCAAGTAGTCTAGGTCCTTGGGGAGAAACTGCATTTCATCCATTAGGAAAAAAATAAGTAGTCCAGGAACTACTGAGGCAGACAGGAACGGGAAGTGCTAACAGGCAAGACCCCACACATCCATCACTCTGTAAACAGTCAGATTCTTAAAATATATACAATGTACTAAACAACAATAAATCTGATTGTCTGTGTACCTACGTATTCAATAAGCATAGTCCAGGGCACAAGAAAAAGCACTTCTATAAGGCTGAGCACCTACGACTGGGCACCAACATTTCCTCTGTGTGAACAAATGCGTTTTCCTTACCAGTAACAGATTGAACCATTCCTCAGCACGTGAAGTTACTGCTATCCAATTACTGTTCAGGAGGCTGAGTTTATCCTCCACCAGGCTCTCCTTTCCTTTCAGCACTGTCTTCAAATTCTCTCCTAAATCACTGATGCTCTTAAGATGGACCTGGCGTTTCTCAATCTCCTTCTGCGTTGCCTACATGAGCAGAATGAAAAATAAAAGTTCAGGAAATTAAAAATTCTCCACACTAAGAACATCAAATATTAAAACAGCCAGTAAGTTCATACTAGAACACACTCTTTCTTCCTATAGGAGGCAAAAGTGTTCTGTGAAGAGCAGTTAAGTTAAACATAAATTGTTCCTCTTTAGCTCTGATAAAACTGTAAATGTCCTTCATAGTCTCATAATCATTTTTGCTAATAGTTTCATTTTAAAAAGTGTGAATTCTCTCAGTCCAGTGTTCAAAATATAGTTTTAATACTTAATTGTTAAACAATAATCCACTTTTTACAGTATTTATATTGAGATGTTTAAAGTTACTTTGCACATAATAAAATGGCATAGTTACCAAACAGCACATAAAGCTTACATAATAAATAGAATGATAATAAAGCATGATGATGACTTCTTAAGACTTAGAGAACTCCACTGAAAATACTCTCGTGAAATACTTTAATATTCCTTTAATATTTTTCAACGCAATATTTTCCAGCAGAAACCATGTTCTCTCCTGTTAGATTTCTTGTTTCCTAACTGTAGAAATGCCTCTTTTCATTCCATTCACTTGGGATTTCACTCTGTGAACTAAAATACTAAAACAAGCTATTATCCATAGCATCCCTAAGCTTGAATAACTAAGATACATATGCAGTGCTACAAGATCAGACTTCCAGCATCTCCTCCCACTATTATCTTACCTTATATAAATAGATTTAAATTATATGTAAGGTCACATAATTTACTCATTATTATTATTTCTTAATATTTGTTGCAACATGCAAGAAGTCTAACAAAAGGAGAAAACCCCAACATATTTAGACAACATGTAAAAAAGCAGGAATTTAATACTAAATACGGAGATGACACAATGCAGAGTATAACAATCTTGCTGAATACTAAAGGAGAGGCACAAATTCCTTACACCTAACATCACATATAACCAGTTTTATGAGGAAAATTTATCTGAGCTCCTTGGTGCCTGATAGCAATGATCCAGGCATACAGGAGCTCTGCTTATAAAATAAAGCTCCAACTAGAAATGAAGTGGTCCACAATAAACACAAACAGACTTTAGGAGAAAAGTAAGAATCACTGGTCTCCAGACACATTGATTTCTCAGAGATAACTTGAATATACTAAATGAAGAACCACTTCTAATCAAACTGCAATCACAACTCTTCCATCTCAGGATCAACACTCTTACTGCAGTAGAACCTTTACCACCTCCACGCCATCACACCTCTCACAGTCACACATCAGTATGATTTTGTTGATGATGTGTTGTTATAGAAAGTAATCTAGTTTGCAATAAGGATGGTATAGAAATTACTTTTTGGAACAATACAATCTTAATAGCACCTACAACTTACTTGGCATATATTATGCTTAAAGCAGCTGCTCGCTTCCTATGCTTAACAGAATTAATGATCTAATTCTGCAATGTTACTTCACAGAAAAGGTTTTATACTTGCATTTCATATAAGTACAAGAAATTTTCCACATTCTACCAATTTTCTCAAATACAGAGGATTTGTAATAGAATCAAGACATGATTAAGGCAAATAATTTAACTATAAACTACAGAATTATAGAATCTGAAATGGAGAGTTTCAAATTTCAACAGGTTCTAGTCAAATTAAAGAAAAAAAAGCCCTCTTCTAATAAAATTTTATTGGTTTCACTGCAGGTACAAAATGTCATCATAAAAAAAGAATAAGGCAAAACATATAATTTACCTCCAACTCAGGATGGAAAGTTTTGATCAACTTTATTACCTTTTCTGAACAATTTGCTTCCATTTGGAAAAGAATGTCTGAAGCACATTTACTCTTGGTTGTGGTTTCCTTTGTATTTTACATGTATGAAAACTCAGACAAGTCTTGGGCTATATATGAAAATATTAAGCCCAACTAGAAATGCAAACAGATGGATCAGACAATTAAATATCAATTAAATAAAACTGCTACCCAAAAGTCAGATGTATAATTCCCAGTGTATGATAAAAAGTGCAACAGCACTCTGCCTGATCCCTGTTGTTCCTTTCAAGGTAAAGAAATAATGTTAAACCAAAGACTAGGTGCACCTCTGGGCAATATGAATATTAATGCTCCTGTGTACTAACAATTAAGGGACATAAATAACCAATGAGATAAGTAAACAATCACACGCCCCCACCTTCTTAAAGAAAAACCACTGAGGCCTTCAACACAACATCAAAGTGAAAAAGCCATCTTCTGCAATACTTCAAATCTCTATTATTCAAAGTTCTTATGTATAAAATCCTGGACCCACTGAATACAGTTCAAGAACTACCAGGGTCTGTAAAGGTGGTGGGATTCCACACTGTATTATCAGCTAGGACCTCCTCTGTATGATATAATGCATACTAGGCAAACTAACAACTTTTTTTTCAGTTCTTTCACAACTTTGATAACAGGGGTTTTTTTTTTTTAATTTGACATTTCTTCATTATACTATTCAGAATTCTCTTTTCAGTATTACTAGGCAGTGACAATCTACATATACTTTATCCATTGCCATATAACAGATAGCATTATTAAATTTTCTGTACCAACAAGACAAAAGGACTGCTATTAATTCAACAACAATATATAAAACAGATTTAAAAAAAAGTCATTATCCCAGGATTACTTCATTAAAACTCAGGGAGTGGCTTTCAAAATCTGCCAATTTTTGAAGAGCAAGTTCCACTACTCAGTGAATTGGCCTTTACTCATCACCTTTTGCTGTATGTTTTTGGGGATTAGAAGAGCATATTTCAAAATTAAGGGAAAAAACCCCAACCTTGCTGGATTTAAACCCCCCTCTGGTTGCCCTAACATCAGATTGCTATTCAGCTGTGCAGTTTATTCGAAAATATGTGAGGAAGATAGATTTTTAAATACAGAATCAAAAGTGTTAGCTTTGTAATTTAAGAAGTATAAGACAGTTCAAGCACCAGAAGCCTTAAAAAAACAAAGCTCCAAATCCCAAAAATGACGACAATGGGTACAATATGAAACATTAACAAATAAAGTGGTGAAATTCTTCCTGGAAGGACTAGGCGATTTATAAATTTTGATTTTGTGTGTTTATCAGGATGAAACTATGTAACATAAATAAAACACAAGCATGAAAGGACGTTGTAGTGAGGTGGGGGTTGGTCTCTTCTCCCATGTAGTTAGTGATAGGACGAGAGGAAATGGGCTTAAGCTGCGCCAGGGGAGGTTTAGGTTGGAAATTAGGAAAAATTTCTTTACGGAAAGGGTGGTCAAGAATTGGAACAGGCTGCCCAGAGAGGTGGTGGAGTCACTTTGGGACATGGTTTAGTCTAGTCTACCCTTGATTGGTTTAGAGTGGACTTGGTAGTGTAGGTTAATGGTTGGACTGGATGATCTTAAAGGTCTTTTCCAACCTAAACGATTCTATGATTCTATGATTCTATGTTAGAAGTTGGGAAGGACCTAATTTTCTGATGCAATCTCACATGGCATTTTGTGGAAAGAGAAATATGTAAACAACAGGTTGAACTAAGTGTCATAACACCCAGAATTCATTTGCAGCTGTTAAAATTTGTCAGCAATGTTCAATAGTGTTTTCAAACAGATTACATGAACTCTTCTACTTGCCATTATAAAGAAGTTATTAAATTAACTTTCCATTTTTTTTTTTTCCTTTAGGACTAGTATTTTTATTTATAAAACAAAAGTTTATTCAAGTCTGTATTACCTGCTCAAAGACAAAGCTTCCATAAATAGAATCACAGAATCATAGAATCGTTTAGGTTGGAAAAGACTTTCAGGAAAGAAAGCCCCATTAAAATGTGCATGCAAATTATACATATTATATTATGGAGACATATATGGTCATCTCTTCTATACATATGCCTCCATGTAGGATCACACCTACTAGCAGATACAACAGTTAAAGATGATAGCAATCTCTCCATTCAAATTGCTGTTCTAATTTCTGTTAGACAGAATTCTGAAATGTCCCTTTGGAAGAAGCTCTTGTACTTCCACTTTTTTGAAGTACCAGTTGTGGCTATTTGGTACAAGATACCACAACGGAAAGTCTTTGACCCCAAAAATTCATTTGGATTTCACTGAATGAAAGTACTGGAAGTACAAGAGCTTCTTCCAAAGGGACATTTCAGAATTCTGTCTAACAGAAATTAGAACAGCAAGAAAGATAAAGAGTGCACCACAGTACAGTGGGTGCCAGGAACCCAGACGCCATTTCTCTTGGAAATGTTCAGATCCTGGGATTTCAGTGGTGACGTTTTCCCAGTTTTGATTAAGGCACACTACCAGCATTTTTCTGAGAACACAAGTGAGAAAAGAATAATGGTTCCTTTAACAGCTTTTTTTTTTTCCCGAGAGACATGGCATCTGGGTTCCTGGCACCCAGGAAATGAAAGCAATCAGACAGATCCTTCTTCTCTGTTAAAACTCTGCATCCAGAACATGCCTCAGGTGACCAGTTTCTAATCCCCATCCCAGTAACACCAGAAGGAGGAGATGGAGATAAGACCAGCTGAGCTTCCCCGTACCGGTCCCTACCATTGAAACCTCAGGAAAGAGGTTGTGTAAAATAAAGTTGTATTTAAGAAAAACAAATTTA